GTGAGTCATTTTTCTCTCTTTTTTTGTTTTTGTTTTGGTTTTTGATATGTTAGCTAAAGTAAAGTATCGCCAAATACGAGAAGTTAAAGAGGTAGAGAAAGGAAAGGAAAAGGGTAAAGTTTCTCTTTTGATTTTGTTTTTGTTTCTAAAGTATCCCCAGTGTGAGTAATGAGAGAAGATGACAGTAGACAGAAATAGGGAAATAAAAGGGATATTTTGAATGAGAGAAGCAGATAAAGGAGGAAGAAAAGAAAATGAAAATAAAAGATTCTGATGGAAAGAAGCAGATAGAAAAGGAAGAAAGGAATAAACAAAAGAAAATTTTGATTTTCTTTATGGAATACGAAGGTAGTTTGAGCGTTTCAATCTACAGAAAAAAAGAGAAATGGAAAAAAAAAAATTCGATTAAGAAAAAAGAGAAGAAAAGAGAGAAATGGAAAAAATCGATTAAGAAAAGCAAATAGAATGAAATGAAATAAAAAAGAATTGATTTTCTAAACGGAATAGAAAGCGAGCGTTGGTGTCTCAGCATGCAAGTTTGGGCGTTCCGTCGTCGTGGAAACATGCAGGTGTTCCCGACCGCCCGATTGTCTCACAACTTCAACATTCTGATCTATTTGTAACTCTGCCAACCGAAGCTCTGGGGTTTCTCGCATTCATATTTGCCGGTGTTCGTGTTCTCTGTCGGTTATGGTGGTTTCGAATGCGGATTTTTGTGGAAGAGATGTCGAAGGAAGGGATGTGGTAGATCTTGTATCGGTTTCTGTGGGTGATAGAAAATGATTTTACGGGGAAGCCCCGTTTTTTTGTGAATTTTCTGTGTCGAATTTCCGTCGGAACTTTTTGAAATATTCGGAGTCTCTCGGAACTTTTTTTTTTACATTTAAAGTCGCTTGGAACTTTTTTTAGAAGCTTGGAACTTTTTAAATTACATTAGATCGCTTGGTTTTTTTTTTATATTTAGATTCTCTTGGAACTTTCTATTACATATAGAATCTCTTGGAACTTTGTAATATATTTAGAGTTTCTTGGAACTTTTTATTATTTAGAGTCGATTTTTTTTTTTTTTTTTTTTAGAGTCGCTTGGAACTTTTTTTTTTACATTTAGAGTTGTTGGAACTTTTTTTTTATTACATTTAGAGTCGCTTGGAACCTGTTAATACATTTAGAGTCGCTTGGAACTTTTTAAAAATTACATTTAGAGTCTCTTGGAACTCCTAAAACCTCCAGAGCCTCTTCCTGGTGGCTGAGGACTGGCGCCCGTGATCCTCCGAGAGATACGAACCCGTCGCCAAGGCCGCGCAACGCGACGGCGACAAAGGCAACAGCTACATTTGTTGGAAACTTCTCGATTTTGTCAGTTTTCCTTATTCGGTTTTTTATTGCCGCCTTTAAAGGAAGGGAGTAACGAATGTAAAATGAGCCCGCTCTTATCTGCGCATTGTGTTCTATATTTTAAGTATGAGGGTTTTTTTTATGCGTTTTATTTTCTTCGCTGTTCTCTGTTCCCTTATTTACTCTCTTGCCCACACCTTTACCTACTTCTCCCTCCCCATTCCTCCCTTTCCACCCCCCTTATCCGCATTCCCTTCTCTCCCCTTCCTTCCCTCCCTACCTCCTCCTTCCTCCCCTCCTTACCTCAGCCTTCACTCCCTCCCCTCCTCCCCTCCTTACCTCAGCCTTCCCCTCCCTCCCCTCCTTACCTCAGCCTTCCCTCCCACCCCTCCTTACCTCAGTCTACCCCCCCCCCCCCATCCCTCCCCTTCCCCGCGTGTTTTGTAAGCTCATCAGGAGAACACGACAGGTACATGGCAGTTGACGCGCGATCAACAAACAGACGCCCTCAAATGCATCACGCGTATTATCACCGTCTCATCGCCCGCCCTCGACGCCCACCACTCACCGCCCATCAGCCCAACAAACCAATGGCCGCCCACCGATGCCCACAATTATGTCAGTGCGAGCCGGTGATTTGTTTACCTTCCTCCGTTCACCCGTCGGAAAGGTGGTACTGTCTCCTCCCTTCCCTTCCCCCCCTCCCCCTAACCCCCACTCGTACCCTCCTCGTTCGTCCTTGTACGATTGCCCCTTCCTTTTCCCTCCTCCTGCCCCCAACTTGTCTTCTTGATCCCCTTCGTTCATCCTTGTACCAATTGCCCCTTCCTTTTCCCTCCCTTTACCCCCAATTTACCCCTTCCTTCCCCTCCTCCTGCTCCCAACCGTCCCTTGTACCCCCTCGTTCGCCCTCCCCTTACCCCCAATTGCCCTCCTTTCCCCCTTACCCTCACTCGTCCCCTCGTACCCCCTCTTTTGTACTTTCAGTCATCAACTTCCTTCCCCCTCCTCTACCCTCAATTGCCCCTCCCTTCCCCTCCCCTTCCCCCACCTTCCCCCCTCCTTCGTCCACCCTTGTTCCAACGACGAGGTTATCGCGAGGTGGAACGAGCGGTGGCAGAACACTCACTACGAAGACATTGGATAATTGCTCTGTCTTGTTGTG